CGCAGAATACCTGATGAATTTACGAACGTGCAACACCCGCTAAATATGACTGGTGTCAGTAAACATTGGCCAAAAAAACATCTAAACAGCCTAACCAGCTCTGCTAGGGTGAGTAAAATGGCCAGAGGGAGGTGTTCTCTCATTTTATGTCTGGAAGTAGCTCTGAATTTACGAACAGACAATCTTACAACGCACTAAATTTACGAGCGGCACTCTGACACACTGGAGGCTATTTAAGACCGCACCCTTATTTGTTAATCAAATGTGTTTTGGCATCAATCAAATGGGCGGGCAAGCAGGGAAGTTCCCATTCAGTTGTCAACACGTGGGTTGGGACAAGCAAGCATTGGCAGGCAAGCTGAAGAAGAGTGAGTAGGCTACTTACTATTCCCATCGTTTATCAGTGCAATTTTAAACTCCAACTAGCTGAAAACATTTGTGGGTTTATCTAATGTTCCCTCATTAGATTTTAGCTCACCTCGCTCTGGGTAGCATTAGTTGTTGATGTGCATAAGTGAGGGAGAGAGAGCCTACCTTCCATGGTTGTTTGATCAATAGGACTGTTAAGTTCCCAAATGTATGAGGACTCCCGTGGTATTTACATATTTGCAGAAATCCATTCAGGTGTATTTTGTGGCTTTTGACCAATGCGTTCTAATTACCTAAAGTCTGTTCCTACTGCCTGTAAACACACAGTCCAGTTCAAAGTGAATGATGGCAGGCCCATGTGGCAAATGGCTAATTTGCATATAGGCCTACTGTAGCTCTTATTGGCTATGGCGCACTGGTCTGCGTAGACTCTGGTCCTGTGCAATATGTTTTTATTAGGTTTTATTTACTGCAGTGTGTATTAATTGTCCAAACACATGGCCGCTTTCCCAATCTATGTTGCTATAGAATTTTCACAAATGCCTTACAGTGCATTCGGAAAGTATTCAGACCCCTTCACTTTATCCACATTTTACATTTACATTTACATTTTAGTCATTTAGCAGACACTCTTATCCAGAGCGACTTACAGTTAGTGAATACATATATATATATATTATTTTTTTTATACTGGCCCCCCGTGGGAATCAAACCCACAACCCTGGCGTTGCAAACGCCATGCTCTATCAACTGAGCTACATCCCTGCCGGCCATTCCCTCCCCTACCCTGGACGACGCTGGGCCAATTGTGCGCCGCTCATGAGTCTCCAGGTCGCGGCCGGCTGCAACAGAGCCTGGATTCGAACCAGGATCTCTAGTGGCACAGTTAGCACTGCAAAGCAGTGCCTTAGACCACTGCACCACTCAGGAGCAGCCTTATTCTAAAATTGACTAAAAATGTTTGCCTCATCAATCTACACAATCTAAAAAACAGAAATACCTTATTTACATAAGTATTCAGACCCTTTGCTATGAGACTCGAAATTGAGCTCAGGCGCATCCTGTTTCCATTGATCATCCTTGAGCTGTTTCTACAACTTTATTGGAGTCCACCTGTGGTAAATTCAATTGATTGGACATGATTTGGAAAAGCACACACCTGTCTATATAAGGTCCCACAGTTGACAGGGCATGTCAGAGCAAAAACCAAGCCATGAGGTCAAAGGAATTGTCCGTAGAGCTCCGAGACAGGATTGTGTTGAGGCACAGACATGGGAAAGGGTACTAAATATTTATGCAGCATTGAAAGTCCCCAAGAACACAGTGGCATCCATCATTCTTAAATGGAAGAAGTTTGGAACCACCAAGACTCTTCCTAGAGCTGGCTGCCCGGCCAGCAATCGGGGGAGAAGGGCCTTGGTCAGGGATGTGACCAAGAACCCGATGGTCACTCTGACAGACCTCCAGAGTTCCTCTGTGGAGAAGGGAGAACCTTCCAGAAGGACAACCATCTCTGCAGCACTCCACCAATCAGGCCTTTATGGTAGAGTGGCCAGACAGAAGCCACTCCTCAGTAAAAGGCACATGACAGCCCACTTGGAGTTTGCCAAAAGGCACCTAAAGGACTCTCAGACCATGAGAAACAAGATTCTTTGGTCTGATGAAACCAAGATTGAACTCTTTTGCCTTAATGCCAAGCGTCACGTCTGAAAGAAATCTGAAGCATGGTGGTGGCATTATCATGCTGAGGGGATGTTTTTCAGTGGCAGGGACCGGGAGACTAGTCAGGATTGAGGGAAAGATGAACAGAGCAAAGTACAGAGCGATCCTTGATGAAAACCTGCTCCAGAGCACTCAGGACCTGACTGGGGCGAAGGTTCACCTTCCATCCGGACAACGACCCTAAGCACACAGCCAAGGCAACGCAGGAGTGGCTTCGGGACAAGTCTCTGAATGTCCTTGAGTGGCCCAGTCAGAGCCCGGACTTGAACCCGATCGAACATCTCTGGACAGACCTAAAAATAGCTATGCAGCGACGCTCCCCATCCAACCTGACAGAGCTTGAGAGGATCTGCAGAGAAGAATGGGAGAAACTCCCCAAATACAGGTGTGCCAAGCTTGTAGCGTCATACCCAAGAAACCTAGAGGCTGAAATCGCTGCCAAATGGGCTTCAACAAAGTACTGAGTAAAGGGTCTGAATACTTATGTAAATGTAATTTTATACATTTGCAAAAATTTCTAAAAACCTATTTTTGCTTTGTCATTATGGGGTATTGTATGTAGATTGATGAGGATATAAAAATACATCCATTTTAGAATAAGGCTGTAACGTAACAAAATGTTGAAAAAGTCAAGGGGTCTGTATACTTTCCAAATTCACTGTAATTCCCAAACATTGTATGAATTTATGAAAACTTGAAAATGACCATATCTAAGTGCTGGTTTGTCAGAAAATGTAAAAAAAAAAGTCATATTCTTTCTGGGGGTGTATTTGAACAGATTTTAATAAGATTTAATGTTGTTAAAATGCTGTCAGTTCCACTTTAAAGGTCCAATGATGCTGTTGTTTTTTTTCAATCTCAATATCAAATAATTTATCTGTAACAATTAAGTACCTTACTGTGATAGTTTTCAGTTAAAATTGTAAAAAATAAACAAAAATAGCTTCTTAGCAAAGAGCAATTTCTCAAGCAAGAATTTTACTAGGACTGTCTGGGAGTGGTCTGAGTGGGGAGGGGAAAACTATCTGTTATTGGCAGAGAGGTTTGGAACTCTCTTATTGGTGTATTAACTAATTTACCGCCTGGTAACGTCACCAGGCAGGCCAAAACTCCATCCCACCAAAACAGGCTGAAATTTCAGGCAGTTTTTTCTAACAGTTCCTAGACTTAAAGGGCATTATCATTTTCACAATTTCACAGTATTATTCCAACATTATAGTGTGGAAATATTAAACACAGAAAAATCATGTTTTTTGACTGCACTGAGCCTTTAAATAATTTAATCCTAGAAAGCCATACAAAATGGACTATGTGGCCATACCAGGACTATATGATTAAAGGTGGGTACTGTGAAGGCTTGAGAAGAGTACTCTCTTGTGGAGATTAGAGAAGAGCAGGGTTCAGTAACAGTACTTTGGTGTTAATAATAGAGAAGAATGGATCATAGTGTTCCAGTCAAAAGCCAAGATCATGATCATAAGTGGGTGAAATCGATGCTGTTTTGTCTGGGACATCGATTCTTCTCCAGATTAGAGAGATTAAAAGGGAGCAGAGGCTCCTTTTTAAAGTCACCCTGTATTACTGAACACACTCTTCATCCCATTGATTTATGTTACACGAGTGGATTCAGGTTTATTCCATTCTGTATTTACTCATCACATCACAGTGGGAATAGGAATGGGTTGTGTTTTACGGTAGGGACTTTCTCCCACTGTAAATCTTATTGTAATTCCTTAGCATTCTGACATGTAACAGGAATTGTGTAGTTCTTGGTGAAACTATTTATGTAGTGTACTCTTGGGATGTGCAGTAATTGAACACAAAACTGAAAGAAAAGTGGAATATACAGTATAAATTGGGTAATGGTTGGGGCAGCAAGGCGAGAGAGATACTTTGTTGTTCGGATCAACTTGTTCCTGCATGAGATATAGCTTTAACAGGCAAAAGTTGACATGAAAGAGCAGGATTTACCAAGTTGTTGTTCAATCAAACAACCCTTAGACATCTCCCCTCAGGAGAAGTTAAATATATTATTCAACACAGATTGAGTCATTCAACAGATTTGGTGATTAAACGTCCTTATTGATGAACGATCATCAACACTAATGGGCCTTAATGCTGCTCCATACTTTACTGTGACACTTTTACACCCTTCACTTTAGCAGCTAGCCCACTGTGACGAGCCATGAATCCTAATGGGTGCGTCCCAAATGGCACCCTATTCCACCTTATTCCCTATATATTGTACTACTTTTGACTAGAACCTTATGGACCCTGGTCAAAAGTAGTGCACTATAAAATAGGGTGCCATTTGAGATGTACACAATGTCTCCTGGCAGGGATCTGATGTCAGGTAGAGAGGGACTAGAAGTGGTTATGACGTTGCATATTAAAATAGCAGGGGATATATATTTTTTAACTTGTGTTCTGCTGAAGGGTCCATTAGAAGATATTAATTCACCATTAAGATTGGCTTTTAAGAGTTACCACAACCGCTCTTAAATACACATTTAAAATTCACAGAGTATTATTTGTTGGTTTGTTTGAAGGTCCAAAGACAATTGCTTTGATGATTTACTTTGTGCTGTGTAAATAGAAATGGTTTAAATCTAAAGTCTCCTCTCTAGAGAGAAGAGAGGAGAGAGAGAGAGAGAGAGATAGAGAGCGAGAGAGAGAGAGAGAGAGAGAGAGAGAGAGAGATAGGGTCGCGCGAGAGAGTAGAGATATCAGAGCTATCGTTGATATCTCTATATCTCTCTATAGCATCTCTCTATTCTATCTCTCATCTCTCTCTACTATCTCTCTATCTCTCTCTCTCTCTCTCTCGCTCTCTGTCTATCTCTCTCTTCTCTCTCTCTCTCTCTCTTCTCTCTCTCTCTCTCTCTTCTCTCCTCTCTCTCTATGCAGGCAGTATTGTGTACCTGGGGATGATGGTGGGGGCGTTTTTCTGGGGGGGCATGTCAGACAAGGTGGGCCGCAGACAGTGTCTGCTCATCTGCATGTGTGTGAACGGCTTCTTCGCCTTCCTGTCCTCCTTCGTTCAGGGGTACGGCATGTTCCTGCTCTGCCGCGTGATCGCAGGCTTCGGGTGAGTCTGATTGACCAGGCTTAGAATGGAAAGCAATGTGCTACTTATTTGTCTTAAAGAATGGAGTAATGAATTCACATAACGCACAATAAATAAACAGTAGGACACTGCAAACTCCAAATGACCTTGGAGATTCAAACATGTATTGTGAGATGTGACATGAACAAGATAACTGACTTAGTTTTGTCCCAATTAGGCTACATAGCTATCTACAACCATGATGAATCCTTCATCAAATAGCCCTGCAGTTCTACTTTCTTAATTCCTTAATTCCCATAGACTGCCTTTTACAGTAGATCGTTGTCAATTAATTATATTTTGTTGTAATTAATCTGTTTTGGTTTCTTTAATGAAGATGTACACTGAACAAAAATAGATGTACACGCAACATGTAAAGTGTTGGTCCCATGTTTCATGAGCTGAAATAAAAGATCCCAGAAGTGTTCCATATGAACAAAAAGCTTATTTCTCTCAAACAGGTGTGGCATATCAAGAAGCTGATTAAACAGGATGATCATTACACAAGTGCACCTTGTGCTGGGGACAATAAAAGTCCACTCTAAAACGCTAAAATTGGCAGTTTTGTCACACAACACAATGCCACAAACATCTCCAGTTTTGAGGGAGCATGCAATTGGCATGCTGACTGCAGGAATGTCCACCAGAGCTGTTGCCAGATAATTAAATGTCAATTTCTCTACCATAAGCCGCCTCCAACGTCGTTTTAGAGAATTTGGCAGTATGTCCAACTGGCCTCACAACTGCAGACCACGTGTCTGGTGTTGTGTGGGCGAGCGGTTTGCTGATCTCAACGTTGTGAAAAGAGTGCCCCGTGGTGGTGGGGTTATGGTATGGCCAGGAATAAGCTACGAACACAACTGCATTTTATCGATGGCAATTTGAATAAACAGAGATACCGTGACGAGATCCTGAGGCCCATTGTCGTGCCATTCATCCGTCGCCATCACCTCATGTTTCAGCATGATAATGCACGGCCCCATGTCGCAAGGATCTGTACACAATTCCTGGAAGCTGAAAATGTCCCAGTTCTTCCATAGACTGCATACTCACCAGACATGTCACCCGTTGAGCATGTTTGGGATGCTCTGGATCGACATGTATGACAGCGTGTTCCATTTTCCACTAATATCCAGCAACTTCGCACAGCCTTTGAAGATGAGTGGGACAGCATTCCACAGGCCACAATCAACAGCCTGATCAACTCGATGTGTCGCGCTTCAAAAGGCAAATGGTGGTCACACCAGATACTGACTGGTTTTCTGATCCACACCCCTACCTTTAAAAAAAAACGTATGCGACCAACAGATGCATATCTGTATTCCCAGTCATGTGAAATCCATAGATTAGGGGCTAATGCATTTATTTCAATTGACTGATTTCCTTTTATGAACTGTAACTCAGTAAATTCTTTGAAATTGTTGCATGTTGCGTTGATATTTTTGTTCAGTATAGTTGTAAATCCCTCGGTCAACATGCACTCACTCCCCCTTCTGATATTTCATCCATGTTATCCCCAGAGGTTTTAATCTCTCCTGTCTAGGAATAGGATTGTGTGACTAATGAATGTGTCAAACATCCCCCTGTCTGTCAGTGTGCTCCTAACATCCTTAATGAAAGCCTTTAGTTTACACTAACTAGGCTATATCAGTGATAACACAGGATTTAATACAGGGGATTTAAACCTTGTTTCATCGAGGTGCGTCTTTACAGAGACGTTTGTGCATCTTATACTTGGAGTGGATTAGTGCTTTTAACATTGCTGGTAAAATGCTTTACAAAAAAATAAAGAAATAATTTCACTCTTTCAAGGAGTGCACAATAACTATAAAAGCAATATCTCAAAAAGCCTGTTTTTTTATTTGTATTAGATGTTTTAATTAAATCCAACCCATGCCTTCTATCATAAAATGGACAACATTCAGTCCTCCTATCATGAAATGACAACATTCAGTCCTTTTTGTTTCAGTCTTGTTGGCCTTAAGTGACAGGCTCTGTGATAAATGATTGTCTAAAAAGTGCTACTTGGCAGTTAAAGGCAGCTTTATGATGGACAAGTGAAATATTATTTGGAAATTACTGTACTAGCCTGGTACAACCATTCTGATCTCGCAAGCTTACATTCTGCTTCGCTACACAGTGAAACGAAACAAGAGTTCAGGATGACGGATCAGGCTACTACTTACTGTATAGCACCATTTCTGAATGTCCATATTGTTGTTCACTGGCTGCATGGCCTCTAGCTTCACATGTCTGGGAATGTAAGAATAGAGCATTGATTTATAGAGAGAAAACATTGGAGGGGTGTAACGGTCCCTGTCAAGAGCTTATTTACTAATTGCCTCCCCGCCCCTCTCCCCAGAGAGACTCCAAGTAATGGAAAAGGTTTGCCAGCTAAACGGCCTTCTGGGAGCTAGCGGGTGTTGGAGTCTCTGAGGACTGTCCATAAGCCTAATGGTTAACTGGAAAGCCAAGGAAATGCCCTTTTGGTAAAGTTGGCTTATTTTGAGGAACATTGTTCCAGTATTTGTTCCTATTGTCTACTTTTACAGTAGTGAAAACTGAACCACAGTTTGAAAGCTGTGTCACATCTGAAAAATACAAAAGGTTCCTCCGAGAAAATAGAGGCGCCACAAAATCTTCAGCATGCAGCAATATGTACTTTAGTTAAGTTAGAATAATTTACATGGGTCTATTTTATCTTAAATCATTTCTAGGGGTTTATAAAATGTTGCCCTCTGCAGAGTCTGTGTGTCCCTACTCAGTGTCCTGTCATTGTGTCTCCTTCAGAACAGGGGGGGTTGTGCCTATAGTCTTCTCCTTCTTTGCGGAGGTGCTGTCCAGAGAGAAGAGAGGGGAGCACCTGAGCTGGCTGTGCATGTTCTGGATGATTGGAGAGATCTATGCTTCAGCCATGGCCTGGGCTATTATACCACACTACGGTGAGTCTTTATGCTTCAGCCTTGGCCTGGGCCATTATACCACACTACGGTGAGTCTTTATGCTTCAGCCTTGGCCTGGGCCATTATACCACACTACGGTGAGTCTTTATGCTTCAGCCTTGGCCTGGGTCATTATACCACACTACGGTGAGTCTTTATGCTTCATCCTTGGCCTGGGTCATTATACCAGTAACTTAACCTAGTAACTAAACCTTCTTGGTTAGTTGGTTATGATGCGTCTGAATGTGGTATAATATTTTTACATTGTTAAGTTTGTGTTTTAAGAAAATCTTTAAATAGGACACAATGTTAAAACTCATCTGCACAAATCCAGGTTGGCAGAGTACAACCAGCAGAGGTGAAGGTGCCAGTTTGCCCTGCTGGCACGTGAAGGAATGTAATCTCTCCAAGTGGCTGCAGACTGGGAGAGAGACAGTTTTTGAAGTGATTAATGTAGGCATGTAAACCATGGGGATACACACATGCGCGCTCAGAGACAAACACACGCACTCACAGGCACACGGACAAACACATAGGGATATTTAAGGAATGAAGATGTGCCGGTGGGAGATAGAAGGCTGTGATTTACGACGCTGTTATACTGGAAATAAGCTGCACACATCAATAAAGACGAAGGGAAAATGGCCTTTCCTCTCTTTCTTCCTCACACTGTCTCACTCTCTCTCTCTCTGAGCCTGTCGCTCTCTCTCTGAGCCTGTCGCTCTCTCTCTCTCTGAGCCTGTCGCTCTCTCTCTCTGAGCCTGTCGCTCTCTCTCTGAGCCTGTCGCTCTCTCTCTGAGCCTGTCGCTCTCTCTCTCTGAGCCTGTCGCTCTCTCTCTCTGAGCCTGTCGCTCTCTCTCTCTGAGCCTGTCGCTCTCTCTCTCTGAGCCTGTCGCTCTCTCTCTGAGCCTGTCGCTCTCTCTCTCTGAGCCTGTCGCTCTCTCTCTCTGAGCCTGTCGCTCTCTCTCTGAGCCTGTCGCTCTCTCTCTCTGAGCCTGTCGCTCTCTCTCTCTGAGCCTGTCGCTCTCTCTCTGAGCCTGTCGCTCTCTCTCTGAGCCTGTCGCTCTCTCTCTCTGAGCCTGTCGCTCTCTCTCTGAGCCTGTCGCTCTCTCTCTGAGCCTGTCGCTCTCTCTCTCTGAGCCTGTCTCGCTCTGCTCATCCTTTCTTTCCCTTTTACTGCTTCTTTATTTTTTGTGTGTGTCTCTCTTTCCTCTCGCTGTCTCTCAATATCTCTCCCACCCACCTTTACTCTCCCCCTCCTCCTTCTCTCTGTATGGGTATGTTCTTCTTGATCAAGCATAATTAGGTTTTTCTCCTTGCTCTAACCTAACGGGACAAAGCTACAGCTAGCCATGATTTATGTCAGAGGCGTGCTTTAGCTGAGCCGTGGGGGACGTCAGTGAGGAGCTTCTGAAGTGGCAGCATGGAGGATATGAGCCGGCTGCACTGAGCCACTGAAACGCCTGCTTGTGCAAACACTGACTGCACTGTAGACATTGAAGGCAATGATACCTGACACAGTGGGGGTTCATTTAAGTTGAGGGTGCTGGTCACATCCAGATGAACACACACACACACACAGGGTGGATCAGTTTCAAAAGCCACTGTTTCTCTCTATTGTGCAGTGGCTATAGAGGAGGGCTACACACACAAAATCTGGGAAACTTGGCGAGTCTCACTGAGAAAGCTCTGCTATCAGATGTGCAGATATCCCTTTAAAGGCATGTCAGTAGACCCACTCTGCTCTCATTCTTTCTGACAAACACTATCCTCTCTCTCTATGCCCTTTCTCTATCCTATCTCTCTCTTTCCTCTCTCGCTCTCCATGCTCTCCCTCTCTCTATCTCTCTCTATCCTCTCTCGCTCTCTATCTCTCTCTATCCTCTCTCGCTCTCAATGCTGTCCCTCTCTCTTTCCAACCTCTCTCTCCCCCCTCTCTTTCTCTCTGAGCGTGCCTTGCATACTCCAGCACTTTTTTATGTTTTCCTAAACTGCTGCAGTGCCTGCCAACAGTGATGTGGCCAAGGAGCCTGAGGAGTAGTCTTTTGTCTAAATCAGAAACACATAATGATGGATTACCACACATCTACCACCTCATTGGTGTTTAATACTCCATTAAATCTCTTTAGGTAACTTCTCATATGCCTTCAACACTCGGCAGTTCCTAATGTGTCCTAAAGCCCCATGACAAACGCACAGCTGGATACTACAGAAGCCTGAATCAGCCTGCAGAGATTCATCATACTGTAGGATACTGCTACCTTTTCTTACACTACTAGTGCTCTGGTGGGAAGTTATTTTGTCTGTCCCAAATGACACCCTATTCACTATAGTGCACTACTTTTCACCAGTACCCTATGGGGGAGAGAGAGAGAGGGGGGGAGGGGGGGAGAGAGCTACATACTCCTGTAGTTTCCAGCTGTTACACTTTCCCTTGTTCCTAGTGCCTTCAAGAGCTGCCACATGATTGGGGTCAATTGATTTGTTTTCGTGCTGTTCTTTTTTCTATGAACAAGCCTTGAGTGAAATGGTCTGGCCTCCATTAACAAGTAGAAGAATGTTGAAAGGCGGTTTCTGAGAACTGAAAAGTGTTTAATTGGCTCTAAAACGTTTGTTTAAAAAAATGGTTATGATGCAGCAGTTTCACTATTCTCCAGGTTACCTGAGTCACTAAATTGTGACCAAGGACTCTGCAGAGAGAAAACAAAGTCAGATAAAGGCCTACTATAGGCCCACAACATTATGAGCCTCTCTCCTTCTCTCTCAGCTCTCTCCTACAAGGTCACCCCACCGCTACCTCTCCTTCTCTCTCTCTTCCCCTCTCTCTCTTCTTCTATGTCTCTCTCTCTCCTCTCAGGTTTCTCTCTCTCTTTTTCTACTACTCTCTCCCTCTCTCTCAGGTCTCTCTCTTCTCTCTCAGGTGTTCTCTCTCTTCTCTCTCAGGTCTCTCTCTCCTTCTCTCTCAGGTCTCTCTTCTTCTCTCTCAGGTCTCAGTTCTCTCTCCTTCTCTCTCCTCTCTCTTCTCTCTCCTTCTCTCTCAGGTCTCTCTCCTTCTCTCTCAGGTCTCTCTCCTTCTCTCTCAGGTCTCTCTTTTCTTCTCTATCAGGTCTCTCTTTTCTTCTCTCTTTCTCTCTCAGGCCTCAGATGCAGAGCGCTACCCGACTCAGTCATCCATACACTTAGTCAATTATGTACATAATCCCAGTAATGAGATTTCCAATGGCATGGGCAAAACACTAACCCTCTGGGGCTCACAGCACAGCTACAACGCCATAAAAAGGCAATCACTGCAGCATTCCAAATCTTACACACACACACACACATACATGTTCGTACATACACACACACACACATTACCACCAGTGGAATGTTTACACACACACACACACACACACACGCATGCATCCATCCATGCACAAACACAGAGTTCATGCATTTAAACCAACACACACATGCACACACGCACAATACCCTGAATGTAAGGAATTGAGACGGTCTTCATGGTAGTGCGTCATTGGGAATCCTTGGCGTCCTTCCACACACACCTACAGGACTGCGTCATCATTACTAAGCACAAAACCACAGTAACACCCCAGTTCTATAGATGAACACTAACACAGTATGTGGATGACTTCGATGCACAAAATGTAGAGTTTACATGTGCCACCACTATACTGTGCTGGGTGGTTGAAAAGATATCAGAATTCTCATAACACTCTAGAATTAGAGTCATTGATCTTTAAAGGAATGAATTTTCAACATCTATGACAGCCTTTCTTCCTGCTTTGAACATAGCTGGCTTGACTTCCACAGTGGTTGATAAGCGATGGTATCAAAGCCAGTTTCAATCTGTCGTTTAGATTATTTCCTAGCAGTAATTTCCTCACATTAACATCCCCCCCACCCCCTCACCTCCCACTCCTGTTGATGGATAATGGTGTTATTCCCTCAAAGTGTGTACAAAAAGAAAAGGCACGATCCAGAGGGAGAGACGTGGGAGGTCACGACTAACACGACAAACATCCCACCCCCTTCTCCCTCCTTCCCCAAATACGAATAGGGAACATAAGCATATACACACAATGCATTAACCCTCTTACACTAATGTAGCTACACTCCCACACACAGAAGAACAGTCATTTTGAGTACAAAGGAGATGAGGACAGCAAAAAACAGCCTGTACCTCCCCGTTGTTTTGTATTCACCCTTTTACTGTAAAATATTGACTTTTTAGACGTTCCCTCAAATTTTCACCAACACCCATTGACGTGGGCAACAATTAAGATATTTATAACCCATTTCACAGAATGTAAAAAACATACATTTTAAAGCTTTGAAGGGTTATACTGTGCCTGAGGGAGAAAAGCATAAATTGCAGTGCTGTACACGGTTAGTTCAGTGTTGAGGCTAAGATTATTTACAGGGCTGTGTACTAATTACAATGATTGAGGATAGATATAATTGAAGGTTTTAGCAGCCGTTTTCAACTCAGACATCACTAGTCCAGCACATTCCTCTCCAATTGAATGCTCCAGAAAATGACTTTACAATGTGTTGAGATAAGTGTCATTTAGAGAGGGGGAAATTGATTGTGTGTGGGTGTGTGTGTTGCTGCTATGATGATTAATGGGACACAGTCTGCCTGTCAGATGAGATCAGGTGCAACATGATTTAAAGCTGCAATATGTAACTTTCTGGGCGACCTGACCAAATTCACATAGAAATGTGCGTTATAGATCATTCTCATTTAAGTCTAAAAGAAGCGGTAGATCTGTTCTATGTGTGCTATTTCTAGGCTTCCTGTTCTTTAAATTTGTTTTTGCGTCTTTTACTTTCGTTTTTGTACACCAGCTTCAAGCAGCTAAAACTACAATATTTTCGGCTATTGAAAATATATTTCACAGCAGTTGAGATGTTTTGCTTGTTTTGTCACATAAACTGAAATTAGGCGAACTATTAGAATTTTAGCAACCAGGAAATGCCGGAGTGATTTCTGCATATTGCAACTTTTTAACTGAATTAATTAATAATTGCACCTTTTTAACAATCAATAATTTTCCAACACATTCAATTAACCTCTCTCTAGAGCTCTCCCAGCCCTCCACATATTCATTAATCTCTCATACATCCCACTGCAGTGGTGGGGCCAGCTTTCATTAAATGGCATTTTTTTTATTAACAGCGTTAAATCAGGTTCACAGCATAAGGCTCCCATAACACCATTCATAAACACTGTTTGAGTGAAAGACCTAGAGCCCTCCACCTGATAAGAATACATAATTCAACCAGTTTCCCCAAGGGACCCATATTCAGTTCAATAGCATTGCTGGTGATCTTGCTATTCTGAATTGCTGGATAACTGTTGCCTGACAACTCATCCTGAATTTAATTCAGCTGCTCTATCGATCGATCCATACATCAGTCTGAACCTACCATCCTAGAAGTCGTTTGTGCTGACATCAAAATTGTGTGATGCGTGATTCATGATTCATGTAGGCCAGCTCTGGTCTAACCCATCGGTTTTTGGGACCAATCAGAACAGTTTGATTGGTTCGCATTCGAGAAGTCGTCGGGGAAGAAGCAAATCCAGACTCATCGTGGTGAAGAAACGTTAGTGGGCGTGTCGTTTGGCCGGCGCTATGTTGATGAGTAGCCAGGCAAGGATAATTGCTCGTTTCAAATGTCCTTTCCTTCCCTTTTCTTTCATTTCTGTTTGCACTCTGTGTGTGGTCTTCCACAATAAACACCATAGAAATTGTGCAAATAGAACAGACATCACCAACGGAAGCAACAATCAGCTGCTCAAAAGTAACTTAAAAGACCCACTCTTCTGACAATTTTGAGCTACTATGAGATCAACGACAAGCTAAATACTGTATGAATAAAATAAAATAAAATCGAGGCTCCCTCTCTTGAGAATGTGACCATAATGTAAAATATGCTGATGTATTCTCTTGTTTGATGATGGGTTCTCTTACGTGTGATTGGTTACAGGCTGGAGTTTCAGTATGGGTTCGGCCTACCAGTTCCACAGTTGGAGGGTGTTTGTGGTGGTCTGCGCCCTGCCCTGCGTCTGTGCTGTGGTGGCTCTCACCTTCATGCCCGAGAGCCCCAGATTTTTCCTGGAGGTAAAGTAAAGCATTATGGGAAATGGGGTTTTAGGGAGAGTGTTTGCCCCTCACAGGCTACATCAGTGTGGGGCATCATAGGAGGTTGGAGGGAGGCGCTATAGGAGGACGGACACGTCGTAATGGCTGGAATGGAATGCATGGAACGGTATCAAATATATGGAATCCACATGTTCCATTTATTCCATTCCAGCCATTACAATGAGCCCATCCTTCCAGAGCTCCTCCCACCAGCCTTCTCTGGTGGGCATGCATGGTCTCAGCTTTTCAATTCAAGAGTTTCATTCTGAACAGTTTAGGTAACCAATGGGATCAAATCAAATTGTATTTGTCACATGCGCCGAATAACACCGGTGTAGACCTTACAGTGAAATGCTTACTTACAAGCCCTTAACCAACAATGCAGTCTTAAGAAAGAATACCAACAAAAAAAAAATCCCAAAGAAATACAATATAAAATAATACAAAATAAAAGTAACAAATAATTAAAGGGCAGCAGTAAAAATAACAATAGCGAGGCTATATACAGGGGGTACTGGTACCGAGTCAATGTGCGGGGGCACCGGTTAGTCGAGGTAATTGAGGTAATATGTACATGTAGGCAGAGTTATTAAAGTGACTATGCATAGATAATAAACAGAGAGTAGCAGCAGCGTAGGGCAATGCAAATAGTCTGGGTAGACATTTGATTAGATGTTCAGAAGTCTTATGGCTTGGGGGTAGAAGCTGTTTAGAAGCCTCTTGGACCTAGACTTGGCGCTCCGGTACCGCTTGCCGTGCGGTAGCAGAGAGAACAGTCTATGACTAGGGTGGCTGGAGTCTTTGACAATTTTTAGGGCCTTCCTTTGACACCGCCTGGTATAGAGGTCCTGGATGGCAGGAAGCTTGGCCCCAGTGATGTACTGGGCTGTACGCACTACCCTCTGTAGTGCCTTGCGGTCGGAGGCCGAGAAGTTCCCATACCAGGCAGTGATGCAACCAGTCAGGATGCTCTCGATGGTCCAGCTGTAGAACCTTTTGAGGATCTGAGGACCCATGCCAAATCTTTTCAGTCTCCTTAGGGGGAATAGGTTTTGTCGTGCCCTCTTCACGACGGTCTTGGTGTGCTTGGATCATGTTAGTGTGTTGGTGATGTGGACACCAGGGAACTTGAAACTCTCAACCTGCTCCACTACAGCCATGTTGATGAGAATGGGGGCGTGCTCGGTCCTCCTCTTTTTCCTGTAGTCCACAATCATCTCCTTTGTCTTGATCACATTGAGGGAGAGGTTGTTATCCTGGCACCACACGGCCAGATCTCTGACCTCCTCCCTATAGGCTGTCTCGTCGTTGTCGGTGATCTGGCCTACCACTGTTGTGTCATCGGCAAACTTAATGATGGTGTTGGAGTCATGCCTGGCCATGCAGTCATGAGTGAACAGGGAGTACAGGAGGGGACTGAGCACGCACCCCTGAGGGGCCCCCGTGTTGAGGATCAGCGTGGTGATGTGTTGTTACGTACCCTTACCACCTGGGGCGGCCCGTCAGGAAGTTCAGGATCCAGTTGCAGAGGGAGGTGTTTAGTCCCAAGGTCCTTAGCTTAGTGATGAGCTGTGAGGGCACTATGGTATTGAACGCTGAGCTGTAGTCAATGAATAGCATTCTCACATGTGTTCCTTTTGTCCAGGTGTGAAAGGGCAGTGTGGAGCGCAATAGAGATTGTATCATCTGTGGATCTGTTGGGGCGATATGCAAATTGGAGGGGGTCTAGGATTTCTGGGATAATGGTGTTGATGTGAACCATGACCAGCCTTTCAAAGCACTTCATGGCTACAGACGTGAGTGCTATGGGTCGGTAGTCATTTAGGCAGGTTACCTTAGTGTTCTTGGGCACAGGTACTATGGTGGTCTGCTTAAAACATGTTGGTATTACAGACTCAGACAGGGAGAGGTTGAAAATATCAGTGAAGACACTTGCCAGTTGGTCAGCGCATGCTCGGAGTACACGTCCTGGTAATCCGTCTGGCCCTGCAGCCTTTTGAATGTTGACCTGTTTAAAGGTCTTACTCACGTCGGCTACGGAGAGCGTGATCACATAGTTGTCCGGAACAGCTGATGCTCTCATGCATGTTTCAGTGTTACTTGCCTCGAAGTGAGCATAGAAGTAATTTAGCTCGTCTGGTAGGCTCGTGTCAATGGGCAGCTCGCGGCTGTGCTCCCCTTTGTAGTCTGTAATAGTTTGCAAGCCCTGCCACATCCGACGAGCATCGGAGCCGGTGTAGTACGATTCGATCTTAGTCCATTGACGCTTTGCCTGTTTGATGGTTCGTCGGAGGGTATAGCAGGATTTCTTATAAGCTAATCCATTCCTAGATAGGCATATAGCCCAGTTAATCCATTATTTAAATCTGATAACCAATTATCATTAGCCCAGGGCCCTATAGCATCTCTTTCCTCAGAAAACCATTGAACAGATTGCACTGTCCTAGGTTACTATCATGTTTGAGAAAGTTACAAATAATTTGTTCTTTAACAGAAAGGCCTATGAGGCAAACAGTGAGTCAGCCTAATGTTTCAGCGGCAGAGGCCTTGGCTACACATTTCACGCCATTTCACATGGTTTGTCTGCGATGGCAAATAAGAAAGCAAAAAGTATGTGACAGTGAGCCTGTTACTGTAGGAGAATTACCCTTTGAAGTAAAATTAGTCATCATTGTCGTGACTCCTGTCATATCAGCCCATCTCCTCCTGTGTGAGCATGGTTGTCACGGAGGAGCGCTCCCGGTTCTTTCTCCGTTAATCCCGTTAATTCCCTCCTGTTTCTCCCTCCTGTCAGGTCGGGAAGCACGATGAGGCTTGGATGATCCTCAAACAGATCCATGACACCAACATGCGAGCGCGTGGGCAGCCGGAAAAAGTATTCACAGTGAGTATTTTTCCGCCTGGGCTTGTGCTTGCTCCTCACAGTAAAAAGCTAATTGTCTTATAACCGCCACCATTGCGACATGTTTAAATCTGTGATGAGGATCATAACTGTGATATGAGAAGGTTTTGAAAGGTGATTTGTGTCATTCAAACACACGCGATGGAAAGAGCATTCCAGTCGATCCACATTTAGAGCTTTGAATTTGAAGTCAGATTTCCTGTCTCTGTAAAGCAAAATAAAGCCCTTCAAACCTCTGATACAAACCTCTTTAAAGCAAACGAAAGCTCTAGCAAACCATGATACAACTGTAGCCTATATTTTTCAGATGCAGGTTTTTGCTGCGAATGCAATAGCATAAGGGCTCAATCAATCTTGCATTGCAAAACTTGGGCGTCGTCTATTTTAATGAATTTGCATAGCCTACATATTTCCATGGGCAAATCAAATTGCAATGCAAAATAGTTGTGGATACTGTAAGAGAACCAGGTAAATTCCAATTGCTCTCAGAGGTGCTTCCAGGGTCCGTGTTTCCTTGTACCATCCAGAGAGGGATATCCAATGAAGGGATGATACACAGACGACCTTCCAGTTACATTTCTCCACCAGCAGTAGCCTACAAGAAAGAAACAGCATAAACATGACTTGATTTAATTTTGTTATTGAAAACTAAATTTCCCATAATTCCCATCCCAGGTGAACAGAATCAAGATCCCCAAGCATCTGGATGAGCTGGTGGAGATGAAGTCAGAGTCAGGGAACCCAGTCTCCAAGGCCCTCTTCAGGTCCAAGACAGAGCTACGTGGGGTGGGTTTTCTCTGCCTCTCCTTCTGTTGGCTCGCTAGATGGTCATGATAGAAGTGGCAATATCTTCCATTGCACTGCACTCTCACAAATCATTATTGATGTGTCTCTTTTCTTTCTCCACACAGATCTTGGTTAACTTCATGAAGTGTTTTGACTACCCTCTAAAAGAAAACACGATCAGGCTGGCTATTGTGTGGTTTACGCTTTCATTTGGGTAAGCTTTTTGTTGTAATGTAATAGACTGCTGCTCCCTCCCTCTCTCCCAATATAAAGTTTTGTTTCTCCATTTAGAGATGTAGAAGTCAGAATAGGCTAATTCCCTTCGTCAGGAAATAGCAGAGACTTTTGAGCTTGCAGCTACATTGCATTTCTGTCATCTGTCCAATGCAGCAGCAGAGGTAGCAGCTCCCCGCTCTCAGGAGAACAACTGAATCAATACATTTTCATTGGGCTCTCCTCTCAGTGTGACACGATGGGAATGCAAGCAGCCTGAGGAAAAGAGAAAATCACTCCTGGAAACCCAACATAAACATTGTATTCTTCCTCTATAGTACCTTGTGCTACGTACATAACCTAACCTGGGTGTTTGCGACCCCACTGTGTCTGTGTGTGTGGATGCAGGTACTACGGCCTGTCTGTGTGGTTCCCTGACGTCATCAAGCACCTTCAGGCAGATGACTATGCCTCCAAGGTGAAGACCCACAGCAACGAACGCATCGAGGACTTCACCTTCAACTTCACCCTGGAGAACCAGATCCACACCAACGGGGTCTTCATCAGCGACAGGTAGGAAGGAAGGAGAAAACTTCCACATTAATGAATCATGGTCAAGTCAAGTAGTTATAACTTCATCCTCAATGAAAAGGGGACTTTATGGACTCAAATGGAGAATGGATGAAAAATGTGAATCATTACTATGCTACTTTTATATTCATATGGCATGTTGATTTATCTGCACTGTCCCTGTCAACTAGATAAGATGGAGCAACTTTATTAAGTTGAATACAGAATAGCCACCAAGGATTTCTCTGTAAAATGTAGGCATTAGTAACTAACTATGTCCACACATACACTTTCCTATGTTGATCCGTCCAGATTTGTTAATATGAAGTTGAAGTCCGTCACCTTCATTGACTCCACCTTCCTTAACTGCTACTTTGATGACGTGACGTCGGTGGGATCCTACTTCCGGAACTGTACCTTCATCGAGGCATTCTTCTACAACACTGGTAAGACAGAGACAGACCGAGAGACAGACCGAGAGACAGACAGAGACACTTTTCTTCTAAGCCATCAATCCTGAATCAAAACAGTTATATTCCATTTGCATAGTCAACACAGACACAGTATATGGTTACATAGACATAGTATATGGTTACACAGAGACAGTTATAATGTTTGCTGAATGGGTATTGTCCTTTCTCAGCTTTTGTCCTGTCTTTCCCTATTTTTGATGGCAGACATCGATGACTCCAAACTGATAGACGGCACAGAGGTGATCAACAGCTCGTTCCACCACAACAAGACGGGCTGTCAGATGACGTTTGACGACGACTACAGCGCCTACTGGGTCTACTTTATCAACTTCCTGGGAACTCTGGCTGTTCTGCCCGGAAACATTGTTTCTGCACTGCTCATGGATAAGATTGGACGCCTTTCGATGTTAGGTACATACAGGGACAGTCTGCATAGTCTGTTCTTAGGGCTACCTTTGTTATGAGCATGAATGTAGGGTCTTCAAAAAAATAATAATGTGGTGTGTGCGCTTGTATGTGTCTGTGTGTGTGTGGGACAGGTGGCTCCATGGTTCTGTCAGGGATCAGTTGTTTCTTCCTGTGGTTCGGCACCAGTGAGTCGATGATGATCTTCATGCTGTGCCTTTACAACGGCCTGAGCATATCAGCCTGGAACTCACTGGACGTGGTCACCACAGAGTCCTTCCCTACAGACAGGAGGTATGGTTAGCAGAATAATAGGAATTCTCAATTACTATGTGCATACAACACGCATGCACAAACACACAAACATACTTACAAATGCCTGCAAATCACTAAATTACATTCGTAATTTGTTTCTGTCTCTCTTTTCTCTCTCTCTCTCAGAGGGACAGGTTTTGGGTTCTGTAATGCTCTGTGTAAGTTAGCTGCCGTGTTGGGGAATGTGATCTTTGGTTCTCTGGTTGGCATCACCAAGACCATCCCCATCCTCCTGGCCTCATCTGTGCTGGTGTGTGGAGGCCTGGTGGGGCTCCGGCTGCCTGATACTAGGGCCAATGTCCTCATGTAGCCCCAGGAAGGACCACCTCACCTGGGGAAGACCTGGGCCGAACCTGGGGACGGCCTGGGAAACATGGAGCAGAATGGTGCAAAGAGTTTAATTCAAACGTTTCCAATGGATTTTGATATTTGATTTCTTTATTGCCCCTTCTGGTCTCATAGGGAGTTCAATTGCATAACCCCTCCACCCCAAATCTCTATGAAACAGTATGCAGTATGCTTTCACTTTATCAATGAATTTATGTACAGGACAGGACCCAAGCACCAGACCCTCTGGATACATCCCTGGGGTTCGAGAGAACGCCTATTTCTCAGTGAATGTATTGTTTGGGAATGTCACAACACCCCTCTAAGGATGAAATCAATATTTTAATGTCATTTCATCATGATATAATAATAACAGTTAGTGGATATTTTAGTTAAGCTTGTGGCTCATTGGCTATCTATATGACTTATAGATGGCCGGGTCATTGCGTGTGGATTATGTCCACCCATACAATCATAGTATTGGCTGTGAAGGGAACTCTGTGGGTCCTGTAGTCTGTTCTATAGTTGGTTGATGTGAAGTCTAGATCAGTGGTGTATGTGTGAGGAAATATCAGTGTCAATGGCTGTCAGCTATGAGTTTGCTGGTGGAATCAGTACTGGGTTAGTGCTATGTGAGTTGTGTAGATGTCAGTAGTGCCTGTTTTATTAGGCCAGGACAGATGGAGGAGAGAGGGAAAAACACGCTGTAATGAGCACAGCCAGCCTGCTGTGGGAGAGTCGGGGGAATAGATGATCAGAAAACTGGAGAGATCACACAGCTGCAACACAGGTGGCCTGGACAGAGAGACAGACAGACTGGCAGGGAGGCAGAACCAGAGAGAGAACAAGGGTATTTCTGGGCCACCGTGAAGAGCATAGATGGATCTTTGTCAGGCTTGACATGTTCTCCTGTCTTTTCACATTATGTTTCTATGTACCCTGCACTTGTAATGTCTGCTGGATATGCGCACACACCTTGAACTGTCAACCATGAAGAGTCATGGTGATGGACAGGATTTAGCCCGCAGGAGCTGGTTTGAAGCCAAGCTTCTCCCAGATAACATCAGAAACTATAATAACATGTTTGTTGTCAGTTGTGGCTATTAGTTTACACTGACAGATGCATAAAGAGGTTTTTATCAGTGTTCTGCCCCACACTACCACATTCATATATAGACACTCAGATCTCCAAGCCCTTTGCACCAGCTCTCTACCCAAGAATAAAAAGGCCATATTTAATAACTTTAATCGTTGTTATTTTAAGTGTACATACTAAATCTATCAATATGTCTTAAGATATTTACATCATTTGCAGGTATGTATCTGCAGCTGTTCTAACCTTTGTGTTGGGAAAATGTAAGAATCCCATTTTTTAAATCTATCAAATCTTGTTCTCTCCTCCTATGTGTTGTATTGTAAAGTATTGTATGCAGGCTCGCAGAAAGGGCTTTGTTTATGTTCAGCCTTTTGATTTGGCGTTTCTGTTTAGCGTTGCTTGTGGCACTGAACTTTATATTGACATGTCATGCTGCTTCCTATTCAAAATACTGAAGGGACTTTTTTTAAAATGTGCCTCTCCTTCACTGGAGCGTTCTCCGCATAGACAACAGAACAGGAGGCTGAAGGGTACAGAAGGTAAACAGGAAGTAAACTGTGTGTGTGGTGTGTGATGTCCCTTCTCATTGCAGTCAGCATTTTCAAGTACATCATTACATTGCTGTGACCGTGACATATGTGTGAAGGTACAAACATCCATCGAGATGAAGTTGGAAGATTATCCCATTTAAACTGAATTGGGGAGATCAGCTACCATTTTAGAGAAACTGAGAGCAATAAGCTATTTAATAACTGCTTGCATAAGAGTGAGTGTAACTGCTTGCATATTTTAAGCAATTTTGTAAAAGTTTTACAACTTTTTGAGTAAACAATTTCAGTGCTTGTTATAAAAAAAAATATTAAACACCATACTGACAATTTGGATGACATTTTAGAATCAGTAACAAAGTCTTACATTTTGAAGGCTTTTAGCCATATATACCCAAACTGTGTGTACACAATGCACATAATTCAATACAATGTTAAGTTACAAATCTTACACTTCATAATGGCATTTCATTAGTGCTATATAATGTTCCCCTCTCTAAAATGTCACCCAAATTTGGCAAATGCATCTGATGTTTACAAGCAATCCTGCAGATATCTGTTGTTGTTACTGTAAACAGTATGATCTCCAGGTCTACAAGGCTCTATAGTGTTTTCACAAGTCTACATCTTTACAAGGCTCTATAGTGTTTTCATATCCCATTCACAAGTCTATATCTTTACAAGGCTCTATAGTGTTTTCATATCCCATTCACAAGTCTACATCTTTACAAGGCTCTATAGTGTTTTCATATCCCATTCACAAGTCTACATCTTTACAAGGCTCTATAGTGTTTTCTGTGGCTCGCTGCCGGTGTTGCTCTCCTGTTTCTGTGTGTGTCGTTTCTGAGTATATCGTAGTGTTAGTAGTCCACTGTATCAAAACTGCTGTCTGCTTGCCCCCTCATATCTAAAGAAAAGGGCAGGCTTCCAATAATGAGTACATGTAGGTGTGTGCTCTTGTGTTAGCTTTACATCATCTTGGATACAGTAAAGTCTGTTGTCTGATTGTTTGTGTCTTGGTATGCACTACAAATTAGCAACAGCTGACTTTTTGATTTCATGATTTTTAAGTGATGACATAAATCAACAAAACTTGAGTATTTATAGTAGTAGCAGTGACATGGCAAAGCCATTCTGATTGGGCTGATGTCAAACCAAAGCTACTGACTACTGTTATCACCTCAGCAGTGCTATGCATTCAATAAGGTACCAATTGTTTATGAACAAGGATTGCAGCTATATGATGGTACTGGATGTGTTTAAACCTTGTCTTAACCTAATTGTGACAGCATTGACTATGGTAAAGATAAATAAGTATCTTTCGGGGGAGGGGGGGGGGGGGGGGGTTATTGTGTGTGTGTATGTATGTGTTTGTTCTCGTGTGTGTGTGTGTGTGAGTAAATATTGTACATAATCAATGCTGTAATTTGTGGACTTTGAGTTAATTCTGTATGCTTTTTGATTGAGTGATGCGTCTCCAGTTTTGTTCAAGCGATAACTCCATGTTGCACATCTGTGTGTCCTCGACTACTGTGTATATAAACTTGCATGTGTGTATGAAAACTTCTTATTTTGTGTTCTTACTATATTCTTCTGCCAGAAGAAAAGAAAATGTTGATTATTTGAGAAAAAAAGTGAATGTATCACTAGTTAGTTTTTGTTTAGCCTTTTTGTTGAAGTGAACAAGGATGTGTATATTATTGTGAAAGGAATGCCAGTACAGAGGTCTATAAACATGAAGCTGTGTAGAGAAATATTTGCCAAACGATGCCCTGTGAATATTGTTTTAATTAAAGGGGAATGGCAGGAATAGCAGACAGTGCTGTTTATGAGCGTGAAGTATATGAAATAAATTATGTTCTCTAGCAAATTAAATAATGTGTTCCTGTGGATATAAAGCTACTGTATACAACATTAAGTGCATTTCAGCTTATATAGATAGGTCTACTGCTGGTCATTCTGGAGACAATATTATGTCAGAGTGCATGCACACTGGAGAACATTTGCCCAAAAACCTTACACCTCAATAATAATAATAATAATAATAATAATAATAGCATCGTTTAGCCCTGTGCTCTCACAATCACAACTCTAACAATTGTAATCGTATGAGTTACTGTGCCTTCAATGTTTGCAAATCAGATATAAATTGTTGTTGGGAATAAAAAAAGGTGCATTTTCAATTAGTATAGTCTACTATAATTCCAGTCTATAAAGTAGGAAAAGATCCAGTTGAACCAAAGTGAGGGCTTATGGTATTAGTTTTAAACAACAACAACAAACAACAGCAACAATAAAGACATCAATATGCTAATCCACACAATCCACATTTCCATATTCACTGCCTTGTTGTCATAGCTAGTGGTCATTAAGCATGTAAAGTAATTACATATACCCCTGGCTTTTCCCTTTTAATGAGAAAACCAAACCTTCCAACAAAACAAATGGATAAAATGTAATTGTAAATTTAACTTGGAATTTGGAGTTAAATGGAATGCCTGCTTATTGCCCAGCAATGGCAACGTCAGCACAGTAAAGACGAGAAGTTTCACAGCATATCACAGACTACTCCTGCTCCCTGCTGGCTGACTTAAAATAATAAATAAATTGCTACAGGCAGGCACATTTACCCTTTTCGCACTACTGCCCAACTGAGCCAAGCCATGCCGAGCTGTACTACACTGGCCTGGTTACATGTCATCCACCATAGTTGCTGTAATCATGCTGGAAAGGAGAATATGAAAAGAAAATCCAAGTCGGAACAATAAAGTTCAGGTTGGTATGATGGTGTGAAAAGGTACTGGTGTAGCCTGCGAGCCTACATTAATTTCTCAGGCCTGTTCATAAACCCATTAGCTAAGCTATCAGGGACTAAAAAGCATGGCTGAGTGATCCAAAGGAAAGGTGTTTAGTGGTCACTATGGGCATGTCCCAAATGCACCCTCTTCCCCCTTTATAGTGCACTACTTTGACCATAGCCCTATGGGCACTTATTGTGCACTTCTTTTACCAGAGCCCTATGGGCCCTTATAGTGCACTACTTTTGACCAGAGCTATATGGGCCCTGGTCAAAAGTAGTGCATCACTCAGAACCTGTGCCACCTGGCTGACTTTGCTGACCCAGGCCCGGACTGCTGCATTTGGGGCCCTGGCGCACCGACTTCCAGGGGGCCCCAAAGCCATGCATGCCCGTTTGGTAATCCGGCCTTGGGCTGATCTTAACCTTGATGTGTGAAGTGAAACCCTCTGACTTCTGCAAGCCTAATCATCAACTATCTTCACCACGCATTTTTTCATAAACCAATCAGATACACTTTTTTTATACCCGTTTAAAGTAATGATTCCACTGACAAGTTAGCCACATCTTCACCCATTTCATTTGCTATCTTGAGGGTATTTTGTCACCCTTATTCTGACAGCAAGAGATGGACAGCTGTCATGATAAATTGGTCACCAGGTGGTGCTAGAAACAGCTAGATAATTAGAGCGTCAGATCAGGGGCATATTCATTACGCTGATTCTGTTGCAAAACGTTTCTTAAACGGAAGCAAACGGAACAAAATGGGGCGGGACTTACCTGAATTTGTCCAATTGAAACTCTCGTTTTAGTTGCAGAACGTTCCGTTTTGTAACTGTTTGGCTGATTACATTTGACATTTTAGTCATTTAGCAGACGCTCTTATCCAGAGCGACTTACAGTTAGTGAGTGCATACATATTTTTTTTTCATACTGGCCCCCCATGGGAATCGAACCCACAACCCTGGCGTTGCAAACTGCTCTACCTGCCGGCCATTCCCTCTCCTACCATGGACGACGCTGGGCCAATCGTGCGCCCCCATAGATGTATTCATTAGTCGGATTCTGTTGCAAAACGCTTGGTCTGTTGCAAAACGTTTTGCAATAGAAACCGTTTACTCTAGGAAGCAAACGGAGCGAAAAGGAGAGGGACCTACCTGCATTTGTCCAATAGAAACGTTTTCCGTTTGGAGTTAACGGTTTACGTTGCGCAACAGATCAAACGTTTTGCAACGGAATCCGAGTGATGAATTTACCCCAGTTCAGAGCGCACTGAGACAGAGGAAATGTCAAGCACTTTCTGACATGACTCCAGCAAAGGTGAACAACGCGATGGGAGTTCTGCTGAGAAAGTGACAGCAGGCATTTCGACGAAAAAT